CTGTACCAGGACTGCATGCTGTGTACCCGGTATGTGTATCTAGAACAGCAATGTTTTAAAGCAATGGAAGTATTACATCTCTTCGCTTTGCAGCAGAATTCTCCCTAAATATGATCTTGACCGAGCGCAGTTCCTGGGTGTTGCCGGCAAGTTCGCCATTAAGTGGGCCGAAATCCTAGCCAAGGCTGATCCTACTCCGAGCGCGGTTATCGTCCAGGTTCTGGGATCTGGAATCGAGTATCTTAAGGAAGCAGCGGAGATCTATGTGAAGTTGTTTGGTCGGGTCTGCGAATTTGTTATTTACGTGCAAATGGAAATTCGCAAAGCGAAAGATATGCTCCGAGAAGCGAAGTATGGCTGAGAGCACTAACCAGTTCATATTTCTGCATGGCAATACAGTCCATTCGTTTTTAGCAGCATGCCGAGCACTAAGTCGCTCTAAATGTTTTCCATTACATTGTCGGCTAACGTTTTTACTGGGTTTCGTTTAAAGGGAAAATTGAATGTTTTTTTTTTGGTTTTCTTAAACTGTCTGCAGCCCTCTTTCTTTAACTGGGATTAATAAGAATCTTGCCCTCTTTCTTTAACTGGGATTAATAAGAACTCGTGTCTAGAAAGAACGCCAATGCAACCGTAAGCCGGAAATGCTTTGCGCTCGAATTTAAATGTTAAATTTAAGTACTGTGGTGCATTTGTTCATAACTGGTAAATAAAAATAATGCTGGAAAAGAAGAGTCAGATGAGTGCAAGATAATTCTGTGCAGAAGTGGCGTCTTACTTGATTTTATTCGTGATTTTACAGCCATTGCACCATCTGTGGACCCTCCAGTTGTTAAGTGACAACGTAACAGAAGCACGCGTGCGGTGGCCCGCCACAGGCTGTTTTAACGTAAATCTTTGAAAATTCATAACTTTGTTCATTCCTGCATTAAATTTTTATGTATAATCTTGAAAAATGCAGAATAATACACAGCATTAGACAAAATAAATGATTCTCTGTTTCTTCTTCAGGGTAATGCACTAGGAGCCCCCGCGGTTAACATAGCCGCCTATGACAAATCCTCCATAGGCGGCTATGCTAGCCGTACAGGCTACCAGTGCATAACCCTGAAAGAAAAACAAAAAATAATTTATTCTGCCGAATACTGTGTATTACTCTGCATTTTTCAAGACTATACATAAAAATTTAATGCAGGAATGAACAAAGTTATGAATTTTCAAAAATTTACGTTAAAACAGCCTGTGGCATGGGCCCCCGCACGCGTGCTTTTGTTACGTTGTAACTTGGCAACTGGAGGGTCCACAGATGGTGCAATGGCAGTAAAATCACGAATAAAATCAAGTAAGACGCCACTTCTGCACAATATTATTGTGCACTCGTCAGATAAGTTCAGTTTCCACATGTTGGACCGGTTGCTTGGCAGAACTGCCTGACCGCCGGCGCTAGTTGGGTATAAATTTGTGTAACCGTCTTGGAAATGCACTTCATTTCGCTCCGGAGTCTTCTTGAAAATCCTTTATTATGAATTTCGACTGAGAACTCTGAGATGGTTTTCCCTTCAACAGTAAACAGCGTGGAGTACAGTCTAAATGCACTACATTGTAAACACTACCGGAATTATGACCTAGAGGAGTTTTAGCGGAATCGCATCTTTTTCAATACAAAAATACAGCGAATGCATTTTGATGTGATCACGTCCTGGTTGGCTGGTAAATTTGAGCCTACTTATTTCATTCTCGAGAGGTCTCAGGGATCCAAAATCGTTTTTACTTACAAGTTTACTCCTCGTTTTAGGGCCACAGATGTGGCGAGAAGAAAATTCTAATAATCTAGCCTACATATTACATTATACCCAAAAAAGCAGCTGCGAATACCTATTATCGGTTTCATGAAAGACATCCCAGTTAAAAATGGCTGGTGTCTAATAGACGGTATTCGGAAAAATTGCATAGCAGAGTCTCATGAGCCGTTAAAAATTCTTGACCCACTGGCCCCGAGTCCACCCCCCAGGGGGCGTCAGTCTTTAAAATTCCACTATTTTAGGCTAGGGCCCATTAAGGGCCCGCGCTCAAGCTCGGACTTGGACTCGGACTTGGACTGCTAAAACTTGGACTTCACTTGGACTCTAAAACTTGGACTTCATTTGGACACTAAAACTTGGACTTCACTTGGACTCTAAAACTTGGACTTCACTTGACTCTTAAACTCGGACTTCACTTGGACTTGGACTTGGACTTCACTTGACTCTTAAACTCGGACTTCACTTGGACTTGGACTCGGACTTCAATTAAAATTGGACTTGGACTCTAAAACTGGGACTTCATGACTTAGACTTGGAGTAAGGCGTTCTTATGATTCTTATGTCTCCTTACGTTTCTTCATGTTTTCTTAGGTTTCTCAGGTTTCTCAGGTTTCTTAGATTTCTTAGGTTTCTTAGGTTTCTCAGGTTTCTTAGGAATCTTAGGTTTCTTAGGTTCTTAGATTTCGTAGGTTTCTTAGGAATCTTAGGTTTCTTAGGTTTCTTAGATTTCGTAGGTTTCTTAGGAATCTTAGGTTTCTTAGGTTTCTTAGATTTCTTAAGTTTTCTTAGGTTTCTTAGGTTACTCAGGTTTCTTATGTTTCAAAGAATACCAAATTAACCTAAGAAATCTTAGAAACCTAAGAACACCGAAGAAACCGGAGAAACCTAAGAACACCCAAGAAAACTAAGAAATAAGAGAGACCTAAGAAACCTAAGAACACCCAAGAAAACTAAGAAATCTGAGAAACCTAAGAAACCTAACAAGCCTAACAAACCTAAGAATGAGAAACTTAAGAAAAGATGAACAAACCTATGAAAACATTGAGAAACTTAAGGAGACATAAGAAACATAAGAAACGCCTAACTCCAAGTTTAATTCATAAAGTCCAAGTTTTAGAGTCCAAGTAAAGTCCAAGTCCAATTTTAAGGGAAGTCCGAGTCCAAGTCCAAGTGACGTCCGGGTTTTAGAGTCCAAGTGAAGTCCAAGTTTTCGAGTCCAAGTGAAGTCCAAGTCCAAGTTTTAGTAGTCCAAGTCCGAGTCCAAGTCCGAGCTTGAGCGCGGGCCCAGATTAAGATAATCCATACTCTGAAGCTCTCTCTCTTTGACGCTCTGAGTAATGCGCTAGGGGTCAACCAGTTCAAGTTTTCCTTGGAGAAAGCTTTCCCTCCAAGCCGGAATATGGTCCGTAATCGACTTCTGCAAATGTATGGATAAGGAATAACCCTCAAGATTTTTTATTTACAGAATTCGTTCGCCCAATGACAACCTGAAATTTTCCTACAGATTTTCAGATTGAGAATGGTGGCCAGGGCAAACGGTGAAGCGTTCATCTCCTCTGTTAGACGGTCCTTATGTTAGACGCTCTGCATGGCTGGTCCAGCTCGGGTTGGCTGGCAGCGTGCGCTCGATAATCCCGAATGCGCTTTATCAGGGTGCACTAGAATTTGTGCTCCGGTTTCCAGTTACGGTTTTGCAGCGAAGAAGAAAATAAATTAATCAGCTTAACAACCAAGCTCAATCGGCCGAATATGAACATTTAAAGTTTAGTCGATCGGTACTGTTTGTAAAAAGAAAAAATATGTAGAGCACGGAGATGTTTAAATGAATCTCCAGGCAGATTTCGAAAGTACTAAAACTACCAAATTTTCATAAAAGTATCAATAAATATTAAATTACCGGAGACAGTTGGTGGCGATTTAATAACAGAGGTACCTGACAACGTTCGCTGCACAGTATTTCCGAATTCCCTTTCTGATATGTTCGTGCGATCCCCTGTCGTATGAACTCTTGCTGCCGGCTAAACAACGCGAGTACTTTCAAAGGAAGCACGGACGCGTATGCGTTTGCCGCAAATACTCACCGTAATACCGGTATGTGAGTTTTGATACTGGAATAATTTTTCACAGTTGACTGAGTATTTCCAAAAACTGTTTAATAATAATCATACAAGAATTACAAGAAGGACTGAACAAACTGGACATCCTACACCCGGGAGCCTATCTGCGCATGGTTTGCGGCTGGATCGTGACGGACGTGTACGAAGAGCAGAACCGCTTCTAGGAAGCCTGGGCGCTGTACCAGGACTGTATGCTGTGCATCCGGTATGTTGCTACACCTCTCACATTTTCACTTCCATCGCGTCGGTATTTGCTTATTTGCCAACAACTGAATCTACTACATCTACTGAAAACTGGGCAGTCCTATAACAGTGTCTTCGTAGTTTGGTGGGAATGCTGTTTTGTTCACCATGGAAAAATTGCTGGAAATACTGTAGATTAATTTTCTCGTGGCCTGTTAGAAATCGTACAATTTGTTTTCCTTTACCGCTGCTTTGGTGATTTTACACTGAAGCACAGCTCCTAATAATATTGTTATTATAGAAGCAAGTAAAACTACTGTTCAAAAAATTGCATACAGAGGCTAGGGCGTGCTTTGTTTTAACGTTGATTGGGTCCAAAAGACAGAAGGTCCTGATCTATGAATTTATTACTGTACCTTTACCGGCTTTAAGCAGTTAATTGTTCGCCTGGCTATGTACCGGCGATGTTACTTCCAGTAAATTCAGAGTACAGTATTGAGTCTGGACGTTGCAAAATGAGCTGTGGTTAATTGTAATCTGCTCGTAATCATATTAAAGATTGTTAATCGCCGTTTCGGCAAAACACAAATTGATTTAGCAGTCCGCAGCAAGCCGGTCAGCATACAACGCCTTGCTGCAGTTATATGTACATACTGTAAAGCATTAGCTTTAAAATAATATGATATGTAGCAGCTCTTTAAACAGAGCTCTTTTGATCGAACGGGCGGTAATTGGAATGCGTTCACACAGCAATGTGTGAACGCATTCTGGATTGACTTCTAGATCAAAATCTCACAAGCGATGCAGCGGATGCACCTCAGATAGTATACGAGTGCAAAACAACGATATGAGTACTGCGTGTCCTATTTCCTATTTTGCTTTGCAGGCAAACGACTAATGCAAAAACACCCTCACGGGTAAAGTTCTCCATTGTTTTTCCTGTGCGTTTCTCCTTTTTTGGGCTCTTTATGTACAGTTTTCCATTGTCCTAGCACGTGCTATGGATTCCAGTACGCCCCATTTTGTCGTCCGCGACGTGCACTGGCCCAGTAATAAAAGTTACTCGTGTAACAAGGTACCTTTATGCAAATCGTTGCATATGCTCCATCCTTGCATTCAAGTGGCCAAAGGAGAACTTCACGTTTCGCCTTCTGTCGGCTGCGCGTTTCCTGAAGATTTCAACGATTTATTGAATTTATTCTTGTATCCTTGCAAAATGATCTTTGCGTTGAACTTGACGAATGTGGCCGTGTGCCTGCTTCTGGTAAGCCAATGACGTTTGAATAGACTGATTAGATAGGTCACAGCCGTACGTTCAATTCAGGCATGTCTAATTATTATTATATATATTAATAATAATTAGACATATACATAATTCAAACAATCAAATCCAAAAGAAAAGTAATTACAATTCCCAAATCCAACTTTACTGCTTTTGTTCAACGTCTCGTGTACAGTTTTAACACTTGCACTCTGTTCTATGTATATCAACAGTTTGCAAAATGTAGCTAAGTTATTATGCCGGAAAAAATATTTTTAATGAAAGAAAGCCGTATCTTTAAGACTTGACTATCTCCTTAAAGCTCTGCTTCAAGACATTAGGATTGCTATCATAACAAAAGCAGCTCATTTTGGATTCTTATGCTGCTATAGATTTCAAAATTTTTTCAACTTTTTAAAAATTTTAAAGCAGTTCAGCTCAAATTATTTGCCAGTGGTACATGCAAGTACTTCTACAGTATAATATATAATACGAAAAATCATTGATATCTTTTGAAAAGAAAACTTTCTTAATTGTAATCATACTTGTCATAAACAGTTTTGTTTACTATGTTCTCTTATTAACGCAACCACTTATTAACGATGCTTTTAAAAGTCAAAAGTAAGCAAGAGTTTTTCTTGCAGAGAGTGTTGATGGTGAAAGCGTACCGCGGCGAACCGGATGCGTACTACATCCAACCAAGTCTGCAACTGAGCGGCGGTCGTGTCCCTCCTGTCTACAGCCCGAACCGACAGCTTGTCCGCAATCCGCCGAAGATTCCCCAGAACGCCCCCTACGTCCTACCATACGAGGACAGCCCCGGAGCCGGATACGGTCCAGTCCGCTGGAAAGGGCAACACGGAGGCGCCTCTGTAACCACGACCATTCGTCCTAGCCCCACAACGCTACCGAGTGTCTGCAGTGCCAGCACGCTGGTCTCCACCCGTACCGTTCGCACATGCTCCAGAGCAAGCAGCACCGCCATTCCCTGTGTTACTGTCACGGTCACGGTGAAGACCACTGCAACTACCGTGTTGTGCACCACAAATGCTTTAACATTGTACGAGGCGGTGTCTACTGAAGGCGTTCCTTCTATAACCACCTACACACCGTTCGCGGGGCAATCCTGCATGGCGTTGTCTGAAAACATCATCACGGCCAGTACATCAGGAAATTCTCCATGTTTCGACATTACTGTTACTGCAATTAAATTCGTGGGAATAGGCTGCACTTTGGCCGCCCAGACAACAGTCTACGGGACGGGCGTAACTACCAATGCTCAGAACAGTCCCAGTTATTCAAGTGGGGCTTTTGCATCAACCATTACAGCAGCCACGCCTCTTCAGTGTGCATAGCGTTAGCGGTGTATCGTGTGGCAGTGGAATGATTATGTTTAGCTCAGGGTTTTATCGAAAGATTGTCACATTTTAATTACTTTTTTTTGTCAATAAATGTACTGTGCAGAGTAGTTTGTAGGCGAAACGCCTTGTGGTGATTATTAAAGTGCTGTCTCACTCGCTTAAAAAATTTCCAGTGCTGTACGTACTTTTCGAAGAACATCTATCTACTCGGTGCATCGTAGTGCGAATAAAAGTCTGTCTAGAGAATAGCTCTATTCAGTTTCTTATTTAACAATAAGCCTGCGTAAATTTACCCTAATTAAGATGATGAAATTTTAAACATTAAAAAACAACCAAAATCGTTACTGTCCTTTGCAATCTTCGAACGTGCGTTTAGTGTACCTAAAACGCCAATCCCTCTGACTATCGCCAAACTTAAACGTTGTCTCAAGAAGGCCGTAGATCGAGGTTTATTATGTAAAGGTACAGATTGAACGCTACAAACACGCAATCTGTACCTTTAGATATGGTTGTCATCGCACCCTGATTTTGGAAGTGGGATGTGATGGGAATGTGAACGTGAAGTGATGGGATTGGTGGGATCGGTGTGATGAAAATAAAATGAATTTTGGTTAATAAATTATATATTCACATAACATATAAATGTAAAAAAACAGCTATCATAAGTGCAGATGAAAGCACACCAAGTAAGAAATGCATTATCAAGCAAATAAAATGTACTGTGGTGGAAACGACGTAGCGTACCGTATTGGCCTGAATGCTCAAGGTCTGGCTTATAAATTTTTCCCCTACAGCGGTCGGCTGATTTAAAAAGGAAGAAGACTTTGTAGCGCGCAAAACTTGTGCGGCATAATTGACGCACAGTAAATTTTGTCACTAAAACACATATTTTTGGGCAACGGAAAATCATCCCATCACTTCCCAATCCCATCACTCATCACATCACATTATCACGGCCAAAATTCTTCGCCATGATGGGATTGTGAACAGGAAATCGGGGTGTTTGTGATAGCGTGTGATGACGTGATGACAACCCTACCTGAGGCTTTACAGACCATGAAGACGGCGTTGCGCGTCGTGGTATAAAGTTAGCCATTTAGGCATGCCGCATAACAGTTTGTATGTTTCCACTTTCCCTTCATCCGTAAACACTTGCGGACCGGATAAAACCGGCTGAACCGCCCGCCGAAAATTTTGCTAACCATGCTTTTTTTCTTTTTTCAAAAACTCAATACATTTCGGAAGGTTTTTCTCGAGTACATATCTGGAACCGAACGGAGACGTTCTCAGCCGCTTTTTTGCATGTTGTGCTACGGAGTAGTGTACGGGAAAACAGCACACTGGGAAGTGTGTAAATTGCCCATAAAATGCAGGACCGACACGCTGTTTGTGTAGTGGTTTCGCATACGCACCGGTTTTCCTTCTGAAATTTGACAAGGATATTATTGCACCACCTTGTAAACAAATGAATTCCAAGGACTTCCGGTGCGTGACCCAGATAGACCGGCCCGGTATGTCAGCGCGATGTGGATTACTTTTTGAAAGTTCTTGAGAATTCTGAACTATTGGCTATCGATATTTCGTTCCAAAAAGCAGGATAAACATTGGTTGGAAAATAAAAAAGATTGTAATAAGCACTTTTCGAAGAGAATTTGCTCCGCGTAGTAAGTACGGATAAAAGCCCGCTCACAATCTGTTGCGTTAAACGGTAAAAGTACTATTGTAATTGGCAAAAAGCCGATGTTAAAAACAGTAAGAACGATGGCTTCTACACTACGCTTTTTGGTAACTGCAGTTATAAAGTGACGCTTTGATTTTACTAAGGTAAAGAAAATTTTATATAAAATGACTTTACTGTACTCGCATTCAGTTCGAGGCCATTAGAGATTAGTAACAACTACCGCCACGAAACTGGGAGATCGGTTGCCCTGCAACAGCAAACACCATGCACTTTACACTATTTAGTAGTCTTATAACAGCATATACCGCAATACCGGTACCACCGGAATTATGCCGCAATAGAACTTTTAGCGGAATCGCATGTTAACAAAAAAATAGAGCGAATGCTGCTTTGTGTGATCACATCCTGGTTCGTTGGCAAATTTGTGGCCATTCATTTCATGCCCGAGAGTTTGCCACAGAGTTCATAGGGGTGCAACATGTTTTTTCGCTTACAAGTTCGGTGTATCAGTTTCGTGTGGGCTGTGCATGTGAACGTTCACTAGCAGTTCTATACATCAATAGCCTATTTCAGATTGCATACGGTAGAGGCTCCGTACATCGAATCGCACGGCGTCAGATAAGCAGTACGTTGGCAGGATGAAAACTGCTTCAGATCTTTGTGCGGTTACACTTTGGTCACGTACAGCAACGAAAAAATTAATCGAGTCGAGTGCGCGCGAGGACGTGACCACCCTGCTAACGGTCGGCGGTCTGAGTGCTCAAAAAAGATCCACGGGTAGCATACGCTGGCCTACCATTCACTCATGTGTTTGAGCCGTTGCAAGCATCCGCGTAAGGCAGATAGTTTTTACGCGTCACCGCACGACGCTAGGTTACAGCTGCTAACGTCGCGAACGGACGTAAAACAACCCGCAACCGAAGGTTCCACATGGAACCGGAGCCGAATGGAGCACAAACCGTGCAATCTGAAATAGGCTAATACATTCAGTTATTCGTTCTCGGCATTTGGTTGTATCAGCGTACTGCGAGTGTTGCTGACAAAGGCATCATGAGTAAAAAACTTTCTCAGGGCAAAACGGTGGCCGCGGGCGACGTTATCGTTGAACGGGATCCCTGGGTGTGGGCCTTTCAGTGGGACCGTTATGAAACACTGTGCGCCGGTTGTTGTCTTCCATTATCCTACCGAAAGGAAACTCTGGAGATATGCAGCGGATGCCGACTTCATCGCTACTGCAACGAACGGTGCCAGGTATGTTAGTTCGCCATCAATGACTAATTTTCACGTGTTGGTATCCTGCCGGTTGGGCTTTGTTGTTCGGCTGACTATTCTTACTTTTCACTGCAGAATCGTGACTGGAAACTAGAGCACAAATTCGAGTGCACTCTGTTGAAGCGCATCCGGGATTATCGCGATCACGTGGCGAACCAACCCGAGCTGGATCAGCAGTGCAGAGCGCTGGAGAAAGACAGTCTACCAAAGGAAATAAATGCATCACCGTTTGCTCTGGCTACCGTTCTCAGCCTGAAAATCTGCAACAAGATTCAGGTTCATACTGGACGAACAGGATTACATGAATTGATTGTAGTTACCCTTTATCACTTGTCCATACTTTTGCAGAAATCCATTACGAACCATGTTCCCGGCATGGAGAGCAAACGATCCGCCAAGGACATCGTCCAGATGTTGGAACCTTTAGCGCACTGCGTGGACCGCCACAGGGAGAGAATCGCACAGTAAGTTGTCTACGGTGGCGCCATCTAAGCGAAGGTCTTATGTTATCTTATCAAACCATTGTGTTTTTTCTGCTTTCCGTGTATTTGAACCAGCCTTTTTCTTCTCTGCTTTTGTTTCTGCTTTAAGGAAGCCTTTATGGAAGAATGTTTTAATATGTACAATATTGTTTATTGGGCAATAACCACCATAACAACAGAAGTGCATTAAACATTAAACATTAAAAAAAACAACCAAAATCTCTATCCGCCCGCGGGTTAAAAGGCAACGTACAATAGCTTAATTGTAAATAACTTAAATGTACAATAGCTCAATTGTAGAATAACTTCGATTATTCTTTTTTTCGCCAAGTATTTATTTAACGAAAAACCAATTCATGCATGTGGTGTTTAAACCGGCATCCTAAGAGTGGAATCAAACATCCTAAGAGTGGCAGGCATCCAGCCAGCATCCTACCTGCATCCTAAGAGTGGCAGGTTTCTCACTCACATGATCCGCTGAATATATTCCTGTTCCAGCAGGAAATAACCAACAGAATATAACCATATCCTAAACTGTAGGTTTGTTCGCACCGATGTCTTCAGAGGTCTTCTGTCTGCGGCGTTTCCCAGAGCCGCCGATCGACCGGTAGAGAGCGATTTGGTTGACATTCAGCTGCGAGTCACCTTGAACACGGGTACCATTTTGGACTACACAAGCATGCACGGTCCCCAGAACAACGGCAGTGCGATATTTATCGATTGTCGAAGGAGTGATTCAACGCTAGCTTGTACAGATCATAATGCCCAACTGACCTTTCCCGGAAAAACTTTGCGTTTGGTGGCCATGGAGGACATTCCCAGCTTCCAAGGGATAATCGATGTACGGCTCGTTACTGACGTCTCCGTGGTTTCTATTCTGTAACGATGATCTGCCTGCGCCAAAACTCTAATAGTATTACGTATCTTACAGACTCGCTGGTTGGATGCAGGTAGCATATCCGTAATGTTCCTTCCAACGAAACAGCGGCGTGAATACTTTCAACGGAAATACGGGCGCATTTGTGCTTGCCGTAAATGCACACCGGAATACGTAAGTAATCGAGATACAATTTTGTTGCGGTTTCGCAGTTCTGCATTTTTGTATGTTATAGAACAGTAATTTATTAAAAAAACCACGATAGTGAGACAAACGTTTGGGTTTTAAATAATGTGAGTGTGTCCGCAGGATGCTGACATCAATCCATTAAAATGCATATCTCAAGGATGTCAGGAACGCATACCGAGCGACGAGCGCGCTCTTCTTCCCTGCGCACGATGCGGTGCCGTCAATGAAGTTCAGCTGCTATCGCTGCGGCGTTTTGTAGATAAGCACCAAAACGTTTTCCAGTTGTGCCTCAACAAACACCTGGCGTGTGGTGCCGACGCCACGGGGAAACGCTTTCTTGTCGGTAACAAGGTGGCGCTCCTCGAGGAGCTCAACACTCTGGACATCTTGCAGCCGGAAGCGCATCTCCGCTTCTTCTGTGCATGGGAGACTACCGACGTGTGTGAAGCGCAGCAACGATTCGTCGAAGCCTGGGCGCTATATCAGGACTGCATGCTGTGTACCCGGTATGTGTATCTAGAACATCCATGTTAAAAAACGGTAGCATTACATTACGGTAGCATCGTTTTTGGTCTTGTAGCATATTCTTTCCGA